ACAATCTTAAATTTTACTTATTAAGTTTTTCATAGCAGTGGTGTGGGTAGAATAGTTGTGAGATTATTTCTGTGTATACTGGGCAAATGAGTAAATATATTGATGTTCTGGGAACTAGGGTTCTCACTATAGTAAAAAAGAGAGAGAGAGAGAGAGAGAGAGAGATAACATGAGGGAGTGTGAGGAGAACGCTGCTGGGCTTGAACTCAAGATATCAGTATAACATAATCATTTAGAAAGTTACAGACCAAATGATACCACAGTATAAATGAACAAATGCAGCACCCATATTTTGCTTTCTAAATATTATTGCCTACTAAAGATCCAGAGCTCCTTGCAGAAATGACTGATTATGCGTTCAAGACTAGAAAAATACAAGATGAACATAGAATATCCAGTTGCTTTAGAAAGCAAAAAGATAATCAAATACTGATGAAGACAAGAAGACAAGGGGGACTTTTCTTTTTACCAGTGACAGAGTAATAGACACCTCATTTACCTTCCTATCTTAAATAACTAGAAAACTGGGATATACATATATCCTGAGATATATTCCTGAGAAAAGAAAACCAAGTTAAACCTGCAACTGACCCAGCATAATGCTTGAAGGAAATTTCTAGGCTGCAGCATAGGAAGGGGAAACCAACAGAGTTTGGGGGTCTCATTAAATTGAGGAGAAAACAAATTAGAATTCAAGGAGGCTGAGGCAGCCAAAATTTTCATGGCAGAATACTGGAGCAGGGGCAGCTGAGCTCCAAAGGTTTGGAAAGCGTCACCTCAAGTCTGCAGCAGAGTACTGTTTTGTATGGTTTGGAAGCAAGTACTCAAGGCCAATGGAAAGAAGCAGGCTGAAGAATTCTTAGAGCTCAAATGGGGCTGAGAATAATTTGTGTTTCTACCAGACAGGGGAGACAGACCTCATAACACATGGGGCACTGGATAGAATTCTCAGAAAGATATCATCTTTGTAATGGGGATAAATTCATCTTAGATGAAAAATTACTCTTGATTTAACCCAACAAAACTTATTCCAGTGAAGTGATGAATAAAATTGATTCCAAGCACATACCGCTAGAACATGTTCCAACAATAGTTACAGGAATACAACAAAATACAGCATTGACAAGTTAAAAATCTCAAAGTCCAGCATCAAATAAGTAATGACTAGCCATATAAAAAAATAGGGCAATATAATCCATGTCTATGAAAAAAATCAATAAAAATTTATCTCCAAATGACTAAAGTGTTCAGATTGGCAAAAACACTAAAATTGCTATTATAAATATGCTTGATATGCATCAGAAGGTAAAGGAAAACATGAGCACAATAAGCACAAACAATCCAGTGTAGAAATGGGCAGAAGACATGAACATACACTTTTCCAAAAAAGACATCCAAATGGCTAACAGACACATGCTCAACATCACTCATCATCAGGGAAATACAGATCAAAACCACAATGAGATACCACCTCACACCTGTCAGAATGGCTAACATTAACAACTCAGGAAACAACAGATGTTGGCAAGGATGCAGAGAAAGCAGAACTCTTTTGCACTGTGGGTGGAAACACAAACTGTGCAGCCATTCTGGAAAACAGTATGGAGGTTCTTCAAAAAAATTAAAAATAGAGCTACTCTATGATCCAGCAACTGCACTACCAGGTATTTATCCAAAGGATACAAAAATGCTGATTCGAAGGGGCACATGCACCCTCAATGTGTATAGCAGCACTATCGACAGTAGACAAATGGAAAAAGCCCAAATGTCCATTGACTGATGAATGGATAAAGAAGATGTGGTATATACATACAATGGAATATTACTCGGTAATCAAAAAGAATGAAATCTTACCATTTACAACAACGTGGTTGGAACTACAGTGTTTAATGTAAGTGGAATAAATCAGTGAGAGAAAGATAAATATCATATTATTTCACTCATATATGGAATTTAAGGAACATAACAGATGGACATAGGGGAGGGGAAAAATAAGATAAAAACAGAGAGGGTGGCCAATCAAAAGAGACTCTTTTTAAAAAAATTTTTTTTAATGTTTATTCATTTTTGAGAGACAGAGACAGAGCAGGGAAGGGGCAGAGAGAGGAAGACACCGAATCTGAAGCAGGCTCCAGGCTCTGAGCTGTCGGCACAGAGCCCAACGTGTGGCTTGAACTCACGAGCTGTGAGATCATGACCTGAGCTGAAGTCAGACGCTCAACTGACTGAGCCACCCAGGTGCCCCAAGAGACTCTTTAAATACAGAGAACAAACTGAGGGTTGTTGGCGAGGTGTTGGGTGGAGAGATGGGCTAAATGGGTGATGGGCATTAAGGAGAGCACTTGTTGGGATGAGCACTGGGTGTTATATGTAAGTGATGAAGCACTAAATTCTACTCCTGAACCATTACTACACTATGTTATTCTAACTTGGATTTATATTAAAAAAAAGAAATTCCAGAGATGAAAAATATATAATATCTGAAATGCTAAATATACCAGATGGTGTTTTTTTAAATTTACTTTTAAGAGACAGAGAGAGACAGAGCATGAATAGGGGAGGGGCAGAGCAAGAGGGAGACCCAGAATCCAAAGCAGCCTCCAGGCTCCGAGCTGCCAGCACAGAGCCCGATGTGGGGCTCGAACCCACGAACCACAAGATTGTGACCTGAGCCAAAGTCAGACACGTAACAGACTGAGCCACCCAGGAACCCCACTAGATGGTATTAATAGCAGATTAACCAAAGAAAAAAATGTCAATGAACTTGAAGACGTAGAAATAGGAGCTAATAAATGAATCACAGATGGGAAAAATAAAAGCTAAAAGGGAGAGGAGGAGAAAGAAGGAGGGAAGAGGAAGCCTAGCAACAACAAAACCAACAGATATAACAAGAACAACAAAGCTCCCTGAACAACTCAACAATATCAATCAGTGTAATATACATGGAGTTGAACTCTGAGAAGGAAAAAATATTTGAAAAATGAATGGCTAAAATGTCCCAAAGTTATATTTATATATTAACTTATATATATTAATTTATATATTATATATTAAAAGATAATTATATATAATTGTATGCATTATCAATAATAATTATATATTTTTATAATATATATCTAAATCTACAAATGCAAGAAGCTCCATTAACCCTGAACAGGATGCACCTAGAAGAAAATCACACTGAAACACATCATAATCCCTTTGATGAAATTAGTGCTAAAAAAGACATTAAAGCAACTAAAAATACAAAGACACATTATTAACAGAGAAACAAACATTAAGAATGACTTCGGTTTCCCTGTCAGAAACTATGCAAATTAAAAAAAAAAAACATGAAGGAATGACATTTTTAAATTTCTGAAAGAAAAAAATCTAAAATTCTGTAACCAGCAAATATGTCTTTCACAAATGAAGCAACATAAAGGATGTTTTTGACCATGAAAATCCAAGCAGACTTGCACTAGAAAAATGTTAAAGAAAGTTCTTTAGGTAGACACAAAATACCAAATAGATGTTTAGATCTACACAAAGGGAGTGAAAAGGGCTAGAAAATGATGTGTATGTGGGTAAATAAAAGAAAAACTTTTATTTATTTATTTATTTATTTATTTATTTATTCTGAGAGAGAGAGAGAGAGAGAGAGAGAGTGGGAAGGGGCAGAGAGAGAGGGAGAGAGAGATAATCCCAAGCAGGCTCTGTCAGCTCAGAGCCCAATGCAGGTCTCGAACTCACGAACCCCTGAGATCGTGACCTGAGCCAAAATGAAGAGTTGGACGCTTTACTGACTGAGCCATCCAGGTGCCCCAAGGTTTCTCATTTTTAATTGCTTTAAACATAATTGGCTGCTTAGAGCCAAAATAACAGTGACTGCATTAATAATACATACAGAAGTAACTTGTATGATGACGACAAAAGCACAGAGGACCGTAGGGGAGATAAAGAAACATATTGCCGTAAAGTTCTTACACTGTTTGTAAGGTAGTGTAATATTTGAAAGTACATGGGATTGGTTAGATATGCACATTGTAAATTCTACGTAACCACTCAAAACAAAACAAAGAAATAGATAAAATTTTATAGAAGCCCCTTTGAAGGGGCTTCTGCTAATTACATTTGTGGCAAATTTGAACATCAGTAGGATAATGATAGTTCTAGCACATTAATTTTTTAAAATCCTTTCAGATTTTAGTGATGATCAAAAAGGGAGAAGAAACAACAAAAAAGAAAGTTGTTTTTTTATAAAAGAATGCCAACGAGTACATGAAGAAGAAATGACAGGCTTAAAAAATTTGCTGTGGGGCGCCTGGGTGGCTCAGTTAGTTAAGCGTCCGACTTCGGCTCAGGTCACGATCTCGCGGTCCGTGAGTTCGAGCCCCGCGTCGGGCTCTGTGCTGACTGCTCAGAGCCTGGAGCCTGTTTCAGATTCTGTGTCTCCCTCTCTCTCTGACCCTCCCCCATTCATGCTCTGTCTCTCTCTGTCTCAAAAATAAATACACGTTAAAAAATATTAAAAAAAAAATTTGCTGTTTTGCAAACCTAAACAAATAAATGATAAGTGAATAAATGTTTCATGGAAGAATAATTAATGGATGCTAAAACCACTGGGCGAAATTTTTTTGAGGAACTAAATATTCATACAGTTTAAAATTTTTACTTCGCCAAATATTATTTATTAATTACAAAGAGAAGTTTCTTTGGAATAAAGAGCTCTGACAGAAATTACCTTAAACAAGTAATCAACTTGGTATTCGTAGTAACGGGACTATTATTTGCCATGTGGCAAGATGCAATGAGAAGGATACATCAAGTTTGAAGTATTCTTGCCAGGCATTAAAATAAAAATTAATGTTTATTTATTTTTGAGACAGAGAAAGAGGGGCGGAGGGGTAAAGAGAGAGGGAGACAGAGCATCCAGAGCGGGCTCTGCACTGAGAGCACAGAGCCCGGCGAGGGGTTCAAACTCACCAGCCGTGAGATCACGACCTGAGCTAAAGTCGGACACTTAACTGACTGAGCCACCCAGGAGCCCCGCCAAGCATTTTAAATATGAATTTAATCATGAGGACATAATAGTACAAATTCAGAATGTAGGACATTCTCCAAAACAATTGTCCCGAGTTACTCAAAAAGGTCAATGTCAAGACAGACAACAGCAATGAATTTTTTAAAAGTACAAGGCAGTTGTCTTACATTAAAGGAGATTAAAGAGACATGACACTCAGATGTGATGTGGGAAACCTGACTGGGAAACTGAGGCATTCTAAGTATACACGAGGGTCACCGGGCAGTGAGAGGCAGAAACAGGAGACCAAGCTGGTTGTGCTCATCTCCAAAGCCTAGGCTCAACTTTTTGTCACTATTCGTGGGTTTTTACAAAATCTCACTGTTAGCTTGTTGAACGTTAAAGAAGAATTTTAAACCTTGGTGTTTCAGAAGTGCCGTTTTCACAACCCACTTCGTCTCATCGGTCGACAAAAAACCCCCACGTGTCCCAGATTTCAAGGAGCGTGTTTATCTTAGACCACAGAAGTGACAGGTGATTTACTCCATCCTAAATAAAATAAAATAAAATAAAATAAAATAAAATAAAATAAAATAAAAATTTACAGATAGAGACACTCTTTACACCTAAAGATAGATCTAGAATATGGAGTCTAGCTCTTCACTTCCAGGACTCCAATCACAGGCACCTACTCTTTGGATACCGGGAAGGAAGCGAGTTAATGTGAAAGCCGAGGAGGGGAATGACACAGAAGTAGAACGTTTAATAGGAACAAGATGTGTCAGTAGCCCCTGTCTCCATATTTAGCTCAGCTTCCATCCATCATTTGCAAAGGGAAGCATGAAAAGCATCATGTTTGTGTTGAAAGGAGGAAAATGTGAGTGGCATTCTTGGTAGCAAGGCTTGGAAGTGGGAGGCGGTGGGGAGCTATATATTATACCTGGAACGCAGGCATACTGGTGCCAGCTTCAAAAATGGACTGAGAATAAGAGGGAGCTAAAATTTTAACAGAATCTGGAGCCTTTTGAAGTGTGAATGAATGAAATGAGATGTGTGAACATGCACAGACCCGTCCTTCTGTTCCTCCTAGGAAGCTCCCAGCCCGCAGATCCCCAGATACCCGCAGAGGAAAAGACCTTCTGGATGAGGACACGCTGTGGGTTTTCCCTGTCAGAACGGCGCGGGGCACGAAGGATGTGTGTCGGCCTCCTCTCTGGCCAGTTTTAGCTCTCTCAAGTGATTGGGCTTCCTCGGGTCCGTGATGGAGCAGGCCGTGCTGTCAGGGACATCTCCAGACATTCACTGGCACGTTCACAGGGTGGATGTATCTGTGAAACACATTTGGCTCTTTGTCTCCTCTTGATGGTTGCCTGCCGTTCTCAGCATTACCGAGGGTGCTCTGAAAAGCCGAAGCTGGCGTCCCGCAAGCTTTCCCTGTGGGGGCTTCAGTTGGACTAAATCTCCCTTTAGAATTTCGTTTCCCAGAGGATCCAAGTTGGAAATGGTTAGATGCAAAATCATCCCAGTTCTCCAAGATTTGGGCACTCTGAATACTTTTGATGAGAAGCGGGTGCATGGAACAGAGACACAGCATATGGAGAACAAAGGGTCTGCGTGTTCAGGAAGTGGGGACCTTCAATTCTTCCACGTGCAATGAGCGATCCAAATATTAATCGCCGTCTCTTCAGAGCCCTCAATTCTTGTTTGATATACCACCCCTTTAATATAGCTATTACTTTATTCATTTCTCTCTTTTTTTTGGAATTTCTGATATTATTGTTCATATTGATCACAATCGTCTACTTGATTCATTTTTAAGGCATCGAAGAGAGTGCTTTTCAATTTTGCAAATGTTGTCCCGTGACTCTTCTCAAAAACAGGTGTCCCCCCACTTCCCAAAAGCTCGCGTTACACCACTCACTTTTACAAGAGAACTGATAGGACCTGTTTCTGCTAACCGAAAGAAATCCAAAGAGGATTTTTGCTTTTACAAAAAAAGGCGAAAAGCCAAAAGAACGTTCAGCGCCTGTTTTGCAGAGAGCTGTTTCAGAGGCAGCGTGCCCAGGGCAGTGAGAATGGCGCTTCCAAGCCCCCTCCCCTGAAACTGCACTCAACGCCTCAGCATCAAGCCGCCATAGCTTCGAACCGTGTCTGTGACCATCTGTGCTTTATCTCAATTTATTTTGCGTGTCCGTTAACAAGATGTGGCCTAAGGTATCTGCAAAGTCTAAGAAAGGTTATGTTTGGGGCCTGAGAATGCTCGAAATTGTTTCTATGGGAATTAATGGTAATTACTTTCTTTGCTTGCTGCCGTTTCAACTTGGGAAAAGTTTCATAGGGATGCTCCACTTCTGGACAGCAAGGGAAACCCGTAATTTCCTTTGTGCTCCAGTTGTTTTCCTATTTGGACTTCTAGCTGCAGAAATGCCAAACCCTCCCTTTCCCATTGTGCTTTCCTTGGAGATCATTCTGTTGTAGGAATGTGGAAATAGACCCTTGCCCTTAGTCCCATGCACATGATTGATGAAGCTGGGACCAGACTTCATCATTCCTGACTCCTGGAATTAGTATCATCCCATTGTCCCACTTGCCTCTGACAAACTCTAATTCCGCAAGCCCCCCACCCACACGGAGCAGGTCCTCAGTCAGCTCCTGTTAACTCAGAGGAACCAGGGATATCGAGGATTAGATATTATTTACAGGGCCGGCAGCACTTAAACATTCGCCGGGGCCAGCAGAGGTGTGGTGAGTTTCTTTTGGCCATTGCAGCTATTGAGAGCAGCCGTATCTTTGGAAAATGCAAGAGCTAAACATGGATTCAGTCAAGAAGGAAGATCTGTTCCCAGGAGGGTCTCCTTTCCCCTTATAGGTGGACACAAGCTGTGAGAAGGATTCTATTAGGGCCTCATAAAGACCAATAGTGTGTGGTAAAGTTCTCTTGTTTACCCGTGGTGGAGAAACATATGTGTCTTCTGAATGAGAGGTTTGGCTGTTTTTGGTAGATGGGAGGTAAAGGTAGTATCTGCTGGAAGTGGAAGCAGGAATGGTGAGTGAGGATGGGGTAGTGGTGCAATAGGCAGAGTTCTAGAGGTAGGTTTACCCTGAGAGGGAGATGCACTGGGACAGTGAGACATCCGGGGTGGTGACATGGTAGCCACATATTCCTAGCAGTGTTCTGTTAAGTGACACAGGTCACTCAGCCTGGAGATTTGCTTGGACACTGAGTCATTTTGGCTCATTCGGGCATAGTAACTTCTCATTACCTCTCATTCCTCTTCTTTCACCTTTTGGGTTCTTTTGAACCCTCTGACTTTGTAGCTCTTGACCTTGGTGGTACATTAAAGTCATGTGGGACATTAAAAAATAACAGGGCGCCTGGGTGGCTCAGTCAGTGAGGTGTCTGATCTCAGCTCATGTCACGATCTCACAGTTCGTGAGTTCAAGTCCCTCATCAGGCTCTGTGCTGACAGCCCGGAGCCTGGACCCTGCTTCGGATTCTGTGTCTCCCTCTCTCTGCCCCTCCCCCAATCACACTCTGTCTGTGTTTGTGTCTCTGTCTCTGTCTCTCTCTCTCAAAAATAAATAAGCATTAACAAAATAAATTTAAAAAAGTAATGTTAGGCTTACCTGCAGAAATTCGTAATTCTTCTGGGTCGAGCCTGGGCATCAGTATAGTTAAGACTCCCTAGGTGATTCTAATATGTATCCATGATTGCCAACAAAATAAAGATCTAAAACTCAGGAGAACCCTTCACGGTTTGATTCTGCAAGGCTGGATATGCAAAGATTCTGATTAGTAAGACCCTTCCACTGGACTTTGGCAGCTTTCTTCACTAGAATGATATTGATAAGATAAAGCTGACATTCTGTTCATAAGCCTTGCCACAATCCTATGGACACTCCTAACAAATAACCGAGATGCAGAAAACTCCAAATGCTGCTAGTTTATACGGTGCATCTTCATTATGTTCCCAGTGGGGAACTTCCTTTAAGGGCTCTTTAGGATTCGTGCAGCTTCTTTATGCTATGAGATGTAGGCTGTGGCTTACCAAACATGTCTAGAAAGAATCTCCCTTAGCCCAGGACTTCAACCCTTTGCTTACTCTCTGATTTTCCTGAAATGTGTTTGGGACACATTATAGAATGGGACATTCCACTCCCACATTTTTGTTTGCCACTTAAACCCTAGATTGTCATCAAGACATATCCTGATCACTAACACATGCAATAAGCACACAGTATGTTTTTTTTTCCCCCTTTCTCCCTGCTGGATGGTACATAGAAAACGCACACTTGGGAATCAAGCAACCTCAGCTGTACTTCCAAATCTAGCTAAATAGCTATGTGATTGTGGGACAACCTTCATTTCTTCTTGATTCACTCTTCTGTAGAACAAAGGGGATTGAAGTAAATATCTGGTTTTCAACACTACCCGCCTTTTTACAGTGAGAGTACCCTTTCCTCAAAAGCATGCTTACTATAAAAGTCAATATATAAATCTGATTGTCAGGAAGCTGTACTGATTGTGGGGCTTTGGGAGGACCTGAAGCCCCTTGGGTTTCCTCATCTCCTCCCCTAACCTTGAAGTGATTCCACGGAATCCGCAGGATATAAAAAGGAAGGTCGAAAGTATATGCACTAATTAGTTCAGGTCTTTTCTACCGTATTATTCTCTGAGTACAAATGCACGCACACATGCACATATATACACATGCACACTGAGTTTGATGTTTCAGGCTTAAGAGGTAGTAGATACAGTGAGACAGACTAGCAGTGATAAAAACTTAGAAATGTTATGCACTCGTTGGTAGGGCATGGAAAGATACAGGTCTTGGGAGTGCATTGTGCCTCCTTCTAAGGACAGCCAGGCAGTGAACGGTCAATCAGGTTTGGTGACTACCAGGTACTCAGTGGTCTGGAGGGTTAACACCTTGTAGCAGGTGATATCCCATAGGTAGTGACTTCATGACCAAGAATCTGGGAACAGGGTCTTGGAGAGAGACCCGTGAGGAAGCAGGATAGAAACAACTGGCGTTACTTATTTTTGAGAAGGAGGAGGTCCATATTTATACGGAGTATTCACTGCCTATTGGAAGTACTATCCCGTAGGTCCCCTATATTCCAGGTAGGCTTATAAAAACAAGTTACACAAACAAGTCATACATTCTTTATAACTAGAAGTGAAAAGTAGCATTTCTCTTCATTTCCCCTGGTTCTCCTGGATATCTCCATATCTCTAGATGCTTACTTGAGGGACAGCTGTTTAGCTCTCAACCAATATACTTGTCTCAAGAAACATCTCATAGGACTTTCTTTGGCCTGAAAGAACGCTTACTCCCAATTCAGCAGGGTTCCAAAAAATAAAATATTACCTGGGGTCAGATATCCATTTTCTTAAAGCAGACATACTTAACTTTAAGGAGAAAAGCTTGCTGAATCTTATAAGTTAGTTTAATATTTCTGGGGTCCTTCTAACCCTAAATGAAGAGGCATGTAATCTCCCTTCTCTTGCTAAAAAAAAAAAAAAAAAAAAAAGAAAAGAAAAGAAAACAAAAGGGTTTGACTTTCATGCTATGCTCTGGAAATAAAATTGAAATCCATCTTAAGACTGTTTCTTTCAGAAATTTCACATTAATCATGCTTTATCGTTTGTTTATGATATGTGCCATTTACCTGATGAAACCATTGATAACTGGTATCATTCAAATAAGTGAGGTGTTAGTCATAATTGTCCACCACAGTGCCTGGCACCCATAAAAACAACAATTAAACAAAGCAACCGGCTTCAAGCCAACAAAAAACAGTCTCGGAGGCTTGGTTTCAGTTAGGCCTGGACTGACTGAGTTGAAGTCAGGAAAAGGCTGTCTGGCCTGCCAGGAACCAGCTAGATGGTCACTTACAAATATAATTTGAAGGGGTTTGACCTTCCGACAGCAACTCTCTCTGGTTTGTCTGCTGTACTCGGGAGCTGGAGTGTCTGGACTCTCACTGTTGAATGTTGCTGCCACATGGGGATGGCAGGGAGTGTACCATCATTTTGGTATGCTTTCTGAATAGTTGTAAATGTAGGAGGTTAATTAATGATTTCCTACTCAGGTTTTGGTAGCATGAGGCTTCCATCAGCCACAGTGGAAATCCTGAGTGCATTGATAGAGTCAGGTGGGTGTCAGGTGAGGGGTGATGAATAAGATACATGGGAACGCTGGGTAGGGCAGAAGGCAAACTTAGGTTAACTCCATGCTAATTCCTAGTGATTGCCTTGCCTCTTAGTCTTCATAATTCATTGAAGGAGATTGTTGTGCTTAATGTTTGGGAAGATACCAAAAAAACAAAAAAATGGCAGAGATGACTCCTTCCCTCATATAGTGTATAATTTAGATGAGGAGATAAAACATATATGAAATGATTGGTTATGCATTGGTGCAATTTTAAGCATGAAGATAATGGTTGGTGCCATTTTGGCTTAATAGTGGTATCAGCAGAATTTTTAGTGAAATGAGATCATAATTTTATCTTGCACTGTGAGAGCTCCCTATTAATATGGAGATTGGGATAGCTGACTAGGAGAGTCTTATTTTCTTTGTGGAAAAGATGAAGATGGTTGTATCCATGTGCTATTTCTTTGCAAAACAATAATGCAGAGTGAGGTCTTACCCAAACTCAAAACATGGGCCTATCTGTTCTTCTGACTTCACCTCTCATATGAGCTCATAAGAAAGAGAAGGGTCAGATCTTGACCACAGCCTCTGTGAATGTACATTTATCATCATGTAGATAATAGCTGCACAAAATGGTTTTAGCATTTAAAGAGTAGTAGCAACAGCATGACCTGGAAGCTGGAAGCTCATAGAAATGCAAATGATCACCCTTCGAATCCTCAACCCTCTAGAGGATGTTTCCCAGGAACTTGTGTTTTAACAAGACTCTTAGATTCTTATACAAGCTAAGGAAGACTGAAGAAATATTGTCATAGAAAATAGAGTTGACTGACAACAGAGCTCATTTTTTTTTTGTAGATCAGTCCCCGTACATAAATTTCTAAAAATTCAATTGGACAATCTTTGCCCCTTAATAGGAATGTTTAATGCATTTATATTTAATGTAATAACTAATTTGTTATAAAATATATATGTGCATGCCAGGAGCTTTTGTGAATTGTCTTTTCCCCCTATTATCACTCTCTCCTTACCTCTGGCATTTTAATTACACATTTTAAACCTTTCTCCTGTGCCTCTGTGTCTCTCATGTTCTAAATTAGTCAACTTTCACAGAGAATCAGAACCAATGCAATATGCATAGATATATGGACAGATTTGTTTCAAGAAATTGGCTCATCCAATTATGGAGCCTGGCAAGTCCAATATCTGCAGAGTAAACCAGCCAGCATGCTGGAGACCCAAGGAAGAGCACTGACATCGTAGTTCAAGTCTGAAAGCCATCCACCAGCAGAATTCCTTCTTGCTGAGGGGAGGTCAGTCTTTGCCTCCCTTAACTGATTGAATGGGACCCACTGATGTTATGTCAGGCAAACCGCTTTATTCAAAGTTCTGTAATTTAAATGTTATTCTCATCTACAAAAAACCACCCTCTTATAAACATCCAGAATAATGCTTGATCAAATATCTGGGCGGGGTGGCCTGGCCATTTTTACCCATAAGATTATCTATCACATATTTCTTTCTGTATTTTCCATACAGAAAGATGGAAGTTGATTTTCTACTTCCCTATTTTCCTTCACTAATCCACATAGCTGCTGAGTCCCAACTGCTGTTAAATTGCAGTTTATGTGTTGGGTATTTAATTTCAAGTATTTTATTTTCTACTCCATAATTTTCATTTAATTCTTTCTAAAATACCAGTAGAAAACCAGAGAAGTAAAAATTTTCCATCTTTAACTTATGTTTTATCAATAATATATTCATGTTGGACTATGTTTGAGTTATATTTTCTTAATTTGTCACATTAATCATATCCTTAAACATTCAAGTATAATAACTTTAATAACAGTAAAGTTATTGTGGGTCTGTTTATATTACCTGTTTTTTTCCTCTTGGTTCTTTTCCTTGATAGGACCATAATTTTTGATTGAATGCTATATATTCTATATGAAAGACTGTGGAGGCACTCTCTTCCTTTGAGGGGGCTTACCCTCTCTTTTCATATGTATTCAGGGAAGGAGTTGATCACTTTGATTCAGTTAGCAACTGAACAGATTTGAGGCTGGGTTGAAGTCTGGAAAGTTACATATACTTCTGGTTAGCTCCTCAACAGTGGTATGGCTCCCAGGAGTCCCTCCTGAGCATAGAGTATTGACTTGGGCTTCTCCTTGTCAGGTTGTATTCTCCTATTTTTGTCTCTTCAACTCTGTGAGTAGGCCAAAACTCCTCTGATTTTCTGTGATTTCCTGCCTCGCTTCTTGTCCTTAGCAGTTTAAGGATTTAGCATATGCCGATGGGAGAAAATGAGGTATCTAATGTGCTTCTCCATGCTTTCCTTCTCTTCAGGATTCTGTTACTTCAAGTTTTGGATACTTTGGCCAGTCAATCTCCCAACCTCCCCTTTGCTCTCAATTTTTTTTTTTCCCTTTTTTGTCTGCACCCTTGTGAGATTTCCAGAAACTTTGTTTCTCTGCTTATCAGCCACAGCTCTCTGGGTAGATTGTTAGCCTCTAATTCCAAGCCAAAAACTAGCAATTGCCTTGAGGGGAAAAGCTGTTTGAAGAACATCATCTCAGCTCTCTGTGGTTCCCTTTTCTTGACTCTGCTTGATCTTGGCCCTTCAATTCCTGGTTGCTTCAGTCATTTTCCAATGCCTTCAGTCAGACAGCTGTTGTTATTGCTGTTTTTCTTTACATTTTATCTGAGTTTTCTATTTGTTCTTCCCAGAATAATTGGTCTAGTGCAAACTATTTTATCTTAGCTAGAAGCAAAAGTCTAACATATGATCTTGAAAATATCACTCAACATATCTTTGTCTATTTCTTGGTCAATACCTGAAAAAAATAATAGTATCTTGCCTTCATCTTCCCACACTACAGCCCATTCAAGATAATTTGTAATGTGTTTGGTAAACTTTAGAAATGAGAGCAAAATCATTACCCTGAGATAGGCATTAGAAACCCTGATATTTGGGGAAAATAATAACTTCCAATAAGATTCTATATGTGCAAGTATCATTTGCCCTTATAATAAAGACAATATTTTTTTATTTTAATATACTAAGGTTTTCTCATCTTCCCTTGGGGAATATTTTGCATCAAGAAATTTGATATTAAATCTGAATGTGTTTGAGGTCTGATTGCACCTAGACCAGCACCTGCAAATTCTACAATTTATTTTTCATCAGTCTTGTTTATAGTTCCTACATTTCACTTCAGGCATTTTTGAGGCAAATTATAGGTAGCTAGATTTTTTGATATTGAGTTTGCATAAAGATTTTTGTTTGCCAATGTCATCTTTCCTGAATTTCACTCTCTGTTAGTTTGTAGAACATCCCAATCTTGTCCGATGTTTTAGAAGGAAGTTTGTGTCTTCTTGCTTACAATCTCCTGCTGTTTCATTATTTGTATCCCTAAAAGACCCTGGGGAAGTGAGTACCAAGTACAGGAACAGAATGCAGGTTTTCTTACTTCTACCCCTGAACCCTAAATCAGAAAACCAAAGGCCAGATCCCAGATCGATTGCTTTCTTTTTTATTCCTTGCATTAGGATAACCTCCACAAGAAGTGACTTACTTCCTCACAAGCCATTACTCTTCTATTTTGATCCAACTATAGGTATGTTGCACATGGTCTTTGTGATTCTTCTGAGCCTGTAAATATGATCCTAAAAAAAAAAAGTCAGTTTTTTCTCATCACCTCTCCTGTTTCTTTTATCTACTGCCATAGACAGATTGAAGAACAATTGTATTATATTAATTATATACCGGTATAAGTGGTAAACTGTTACAGATATTTATTACCATACAAATTAGCCAAAGTTGGCTCCTTAGTGAATGGAAACAGAAAGAAACCAATTCCCTTTACTTTATGCTTGGTCATTTCTATAGCAGCCGATGCAATCATACTATTATTACCAATTCTTTGTGTAAATCTACCCATCTGAAATGGGCTCCAGGGCTTGTAATGTGATTCACAAGGATATCATAACATCATGGCAACTCTACAGCAAATTGAGGAAATTAAAAATGGTTTCTGAAATCACAGAAGGAGCAGAAGTAAGACAGCTCAAGGAAAGCTCAGAAAGGAGAATGAGTTAGGAATTATTCTCCAGCAACCATTGCTGTAGAAAACCCCTATGCAGTGACTGTTTTGATGCGGAGTGGAGGGTAAATGGTAGGAGAGGGAGTATCTGGGGGCTAACTCTCTTGACTAAGTTATTCAATTTACATGGCACCAGCATACTATTTCTTTAAAACTATCCCAACAAAATCGTTTTCTTGAAATTCAATAAAATATTTAATAAGATAGTTTTTGAATATTTATTGAAATGGTATTATTTCAATAAAACTAAAGCAACAGAGTAAAGAATGAGGCGTTCTATCTTAGTAACCAAACAACATTGTTTTCTTACCTGATAGAAATGGTGAGTTAATTGTGACCCTCAATTGTGATAGGTACCTTCAAGTCATGTAGGTATTTCTACCCTTCTAGGGTTCTTTTTTTTTTTTTTTTTAATTTTTTTTTCAACGTTTTTTTGTTTATTTTTGGGACAGAGAGAGACAGAGCATGAACGGGGGAGGGGCAGAGAGAGAGGGAGACACAGAATTGGAAACAGGCTCCAGGCTCCGAGCCATCAGCCCAGAGCCTGACGCGGGGCTCGAACTCCCGGACTGCGAGATCGTGACCTGGCTGAAGTCGGACGCTTAACCGACTGCGCCACCCAGGCGCCCCTACCCTTCTAGGGTTCTAAGGAGGACCCCTCACAAAAGAAAAGTAATCACAGAGTGACAGAAGCCACACTGAGAAACAAGGAAAACTTTATTAATTCTGTGTCTGTCCATCCTGTAGACAGAAGCCTCTTTGTGTGCTGCTCAGGGGAACCCCTAACCTGGGTTGGGGAAATGGACTCATGACCTAACACTGGACTTGCCAGTTACTGATCCATTTAACGTGAATATTTCATGTTCACGAAACATGGAGAATAATATATGAAACTAAAAGGCCTCTGACTAAGGAAGGAAGGTGCTCTGACTTTTGCCACCTCTCTCCTCTGTGAGTTTGGGCATGTTACTTGAATTTCCCGAGTCTTGGTTTCACCTTCCAATCAATAGGAATAATAACCCTTAGTTAAGAGATTAAATGAGACAGTGAATGTCAGGTGCTTAGCACATAGTAGTTACTCAGTAAATGGCAGGAATTTTTATTGACTCAATTTTTCACAATTTTATAAATAAAAGTAAATAGTAAGAGGGAATATGAAACTTTTTAAAGCCGTATTCAAGGCTGGAGGCAGGGAAGAAGGGAACAATGGCTTATTTATTAATTATTTAATTATTTGTTTTAAAGTTTATCTATTTATTTGGAGAGAGAGAGAGAAGGAGAGAGAACAAGTACAGGAGGGGCAAAAAAAAAAAAAAAAAAAACAGGGAGAGAGAGAATCCCAAGCAGGCTCTGCTGATAGCATGGAACCCGACATGGGGCTTAATCCCATGAACTGTGAGATCATGACCTGAGCCAAAATCAAGAGTCTGACGCTGAACTGACTGAGACACCCAGACACCCCTGAAAAATCACTTTTTTAGTATTTGAAAAAGGATATAAAATGAAACACTAATGATAAGAGGAAGCATCAGTTACCTTGACACTTACTTTAAATGCTCTTGACCCAGTTTGGTGAAGCTTCATTACATACTGGGATAGCACTGAGTCACATTCTCTCTCCTGGAAGAGTTTGGTGATTGGACTTTACACAATCACTGAACACCACGATATGGAGTTCTCAGGGGTCTGTGAACAAGTTTTCAGGTTCAATAGCGAGTTGAGATCATCCAAGATGCCCTGACTCCAAACAATCTCAAAAATTCTTCAGCACCATTTTATGTCTTTCAGAACCTCACAAACAAAATTCCTAACTCTGTAATGTACTCATGTACTTTGTAATAAAAAATGAACTTTCATGTTAAGTTTATCACTTTGCATTGAAAATGATCTCAGGAGTTAACATATACCAGTCCATGCCTTTTTCTATCCATAGCAATATACATTCCTCAGTAGCCTGGATAATGATGACATTGTACATTTTTTCTTTCTTTCTTGAAATTTATTTGGTATTTTTCATAGTTGTTGTAACAGTTGCTTATTGAAAGATAAGTGCCAGTTGAGAGGGAGTCATTTGCTAATGTCTAGTCTAATGGGACGCTGAGAAGACAAAGGCTTTGAATTGCCTGTTACTCTTTTTTTCAGCCTATATTAGGTTTCTATTGCTGCCATAACCAATTACCACAAACTTAGTAGCTTGAAACACTACAACTTTATTACCTTACACTTCTGGAGGTCAGAAGCCCAACCCAGGTCTCATTGGGGGTAAAATCAAGGTGTCTGAAGGTCTGTGCTCCTTCTGGAAGGTCTAAGGGAGAATTTGTTTTCTCGCCTTTTCCAGCTTGTGGAGGTTGCATTCCTTCACTTGCAGCTTTTTTGCCCCCAATTTTAAAAGCTAGCAATGTCTCATCTCTATTACCCTATTGTTCTTTGATCACAGCTGGGAAAGGTTCTCTGTTGTTAAAAAAACCCATGTGAGGGGCGCCTGGGTGGCGCAGTCGGTTAAGCGTCCGACTTCAGCCAGGTCACGATCTCGCGGTCCGTGAGTCCGAGCCCCGCGTCGGGCTCTGGGCTGATGGCTCGGAGCCTGGAGCCTGTTTCCGATTCTGTGTCTCCCTCTCTCTCTGCCCCTCCCCCGTTCATGCTCTGTCTCTCTCTGTCCCAAAAATAAATTAAAAAAAAAAAAACAACCCATGTGATTAGACTGGACACACATGGATAGTCTCATCAATTCTCCCCATCTCAAGATACTTAACTGAATCACACCCCCAAGGTTCTCTTTGCCAGGTAAGATAATCTTATCCATAGGTTTCTAGAATTAGAATGTGAACATCTCTGTGTGTGGAGTGGTGGTGGTGGTGGTAATTCTGCCTACCTTCAAAGAAAAAATGGAATTATAATTTTGGCAAGAATTACACAGGGAACTTCTAAGTGCTGTCTTTCCTAGAGAGGGCTTAGAGGTGGCTTATTCGAGAAAACAAGAGAGTAGGTCCTTGGTTGAGTGTTGTGGATAGAGCTCAGCCTTTACGCACCATGCCCTTCTATTACATGGTGGGAAGTGAGGCTCTCCTTCACAATCAAGACATTATCAAGGACACTGAATTGCCCCCAAGGATTTTGGAAAGAGTGAGAGAATGTGAATGATATGGGAAAGTACCAAGGAGTGGGGTCTTACCTGAGACAGTCCCTGGACAGTCTAGACAGGTAAGGAAAGCTAGGCAGCCTCAGAGATGGTCTTTCTTGAGAGAGATGGGTTTGCCAGAAAGGATGAAAATCTTGCTTCTGGCAATCTCATCATGATGAGAAAAGAAACAGGACAGTGTAGCTTTGATTGGATTAAAGAAATGTAGGCAGCTGCAGAAGCTCCAGAGATGGGTAGAGATGGTAAGCCCCCCCCCCACCCCCCACCACAACAGGCAGTATGGCCGTGTGTGGCGGTGCCAGAGTGGCTGAGTGTCTCAGGGAGGCTGATGCAACGGGACCCTTCTCAGACCTTGAGCACATCCGGGCCTAGAGGTTACTGTTGTCTTCATGAAAGTCAAATGTGTAGTGTGTTCCGGGGTTTGTCCTGTGCTCCTTTGCACAGCACAAATTCTCAGGCTGCAGATGAAGAAGTTAACTAGCAGAGTAGAGCTAGGAGTGAGGAAAAAAGGGAAGCTTAAGGGGTGATGGGGTTGCCGGTGTGGTTTAGGGCCAGTTCACAGCCCTTTGCTGTGACAGACACTGTTTCCAGGGGCCTGTGGCATATGAGCAGAATCCCAAGGGAGGAAGTAGATCGGTAATGACAGTTATGAAGATGATCCAACTACAAACAGGGCAGGGAAGATGGAAGCAGACGTTGCACTTCTTCTTGGAAAAGTGGAGGCAGATTTGAGTCAAAGAGGTCTTTACTGGCCGCTGGTATCTACTGAACTATCTGCCCAAATAATCAGTATTAAACCAGTGAATGGAGAGTCCAGGAAGCCTCTGAGAAAGTGGAAGCAGAGGGGCTGTGACTTTGTCGAAGCAGTGACTTTGTTAAGCAGTGCCCTGGGGTGTTGGATGGTGAGCCGCAGGTTCAGCAAAACCCACAAGGGAATTGAAAGAGAGAAGTTTCTTACCCACAGGTCCTAGAGGAGCTACATGGTATGCCTCCAGGGACCACAGTGGGAGGCCAAGGCAGGGTGCAGGCAGAGAGCAAGGCAGGACCTGAGGTTCACGCCTTTGTGAGGGTCCCGGAATAGAATGCTTTGGGGTTCCCAGGCTAAGGCTTATCTGGTCTATTCAAACCAAAAGGAGCTTCATGGGGGTCTTATCTAAGGGATGCACAAGGGGAAGGCCCTGGGAGGTGGGGGAGACTATCACCAGCGTGGTGTGGGGAGTCACATCAGGAATTTGTATTTATCTGTGACTCTGAGAGCTATTGTCTAGGGCATGTGCTTGCATGAGGGGCTCGTATCAGTCCAGGGCCCCCACAGACCACTTGGCCACACCAAATGGATGCCAAGGCAGCAGCATTATGGAGAGTAGTTTAGTTAAACTCTCAACACAAAGGTTAATGAAAGGGACTTGAATTTGTCATCATCGAAAGGGTCATAATTTGTGCCTTGGGGAAATGCACGATAGAAGACATACCATTGTCATTGTTTTATTGTTTGTAGTCCTCACAATTCATGGAGTAGCTGCTTCATTGCAGGTACTGTGATAAAGTACGTAGACTTTGAATTCAAATAGCCTGGGTTCAAATCCCATTATTGCCACTTACTAATAATATGACATTGAGTAACCAATCCTAACCTGACTTTCCTCATCCAAAGAATAGGAATAATGTGATATTTTGTAGAGTTGTCATGACTAAATGAGCTGATATATTTAAAATGATCAGTGCAATGCCTGGCTCTTCACACTAAAAAATCCTGGCTTCTAGTTTTTTAAATGTGATTCAGTAGGTAAATATTTTATGAATTTACTCTCATTAGAATATTATCAGATGTGAGGCACCTGGGTGGCTCAGTCAGTTAAGCATCTGACTTTTGATTTCCGCTCTGGTAGTGATCTCACAGTTTGTGAGTTTGAGCCCCATACGGAGCTCTGTGCTGACAGTGCGGAGCCTGCTTGGGATTCTCTCTCTCCCTCTCTTTCTGCCCCTCCCCTGCTCACAGTCTCTCTCTCTCAAAATAAATAGATAAACTGAAAAAAAAAAAAAAAAGAATATTAGCATACGTGAGTATCTCGGGATGAATAAGTTTATCAGACCAGTTCTTACCTGCCATAGCTCTGATAATAGGGAGCATAAGGAGGAAATTTGATAATGGGTAGGAGAAGGGATCCCAAGTAGGGAACACTAATGATATTCCTCATGATGGGTCCTGGAGATCCCGGGGGCTATATTTTGAGGCATTGAATGCTTTGAGGTACAGAATAGTCTAAGTGTACTAATCATACAATAGAGATCACTACCTATACCTCAGCAATATAACAGAATTCCGGTTTCCAAGGTGTTGAATCTAATTGTGTTTGCTACTGAAATAAAAAAGAATCCCAGCTGAGGACTTCCATTAAATAGCTCTACAATGTCTGGCAACTTCAGCTTTCAGATAAAAGTGTAGGGCAGAAAGATCTCTAATGTTCCTTCTGTGTCTGACATTCCAGGACTCCAAAATAATGCTAGGGCCAATATTATGTATTTCTTTTTATAGGAGTTTTCTTTGCCTGGGGAGAGCAAGACCATATGCCAAAAACATTGTGCAAGTCAGGTCAATTAAGAAGGATTGCTCCTCCAGCCTCGGGTTTGCTTCAGCAAATCTTTAGAGCTGGCTCTTTATTTATAACTCTGTAGAGGACCAAAACAACCCTGCATCTGACTAGGGTGTGGAGAAGCAAAACATAGTTCAGATGCATTCCTAAATCATGAATTTTTCTCATTGACGTATATGCCATCACAGTGCAGCTGCGTGTCATAGATTTTTAGGGCTTGATTATAAACGGCCTTCGACAGACATCCCTGGGAGAATGGCGAAGAAGTGGTCCCTGTGACACAGCTGATCCTTCCCCTCCACGGAACTGAGGCTGATGATCTTAAGGGCAGCTATCAGCAGCAGTCCTAGAGCCTAAGGAATAATGTAGGTTGCTTAGGGACTGAACATTCCTCATTTCTCAATGCCAAAAAATGCTAAGACTTGTGGCCAGACCTTCATAGCATTCAGGTGTCATTATATCCTGTTTATTGGGATGCTTGATATTAGACTGTCCCCCTAGACTGGTGTTCCAATACCCTCGGATACTGGCCTTTTGCTTCTGGAACCTTCCACTGGGCTCTACAATCATCGGTTCAGCTACTACAAGGGTCTTATAATTCACTCTCCTCTCTCCCCACAACGCACTCCAAATTTAAACTGAAAAGTTACTTATAGCTCCCAGGACTAGGGTAAGTGCTTCTCTTAAATGGACTTGTAATAGCTTGTCCTCACACCTTTTGCAATACTTCTGTATGCTAACTTTTCCCTTTATAGAATAAGCTTCTTGAGGATAGGACCTGAAGCTGATTCTAATTGTATCCCTGGCATTTAGAACAAATTCCAGAACTTATTAGAGACAAAATATATTGTGGGATGATTGAGTGCCTACATCTCGTCTCAGGTACTAAACATTAAAACACATGGAGAGGGGTGCCTGGGTGGCTCGGTCAGTTAAGCATCAAACTTTTGATC